ATAAATAAATAAGACAGAATCTCACAACACTTAAAAGACACAAGTCTCCAGAGGACCCTGCAAATGCCCCTTTGTGTGAATGAAATAAAGAGCAATGTAATGGCAAACATCAAATCAAAATCAGAACACAGAGGACATAGAGAAGATCCTAAGGATGGCTGCCAAGAAGAAGAGAGGTCTCCTCTTAAAAATGACAACAAACTCCCACCAGCCCCTTTGGTGCAAGATGATCATTTGAATTTAGAATTCTCTTCCCAGCTAAACTAGCCATCAAGTATGAGAGAATAAAGAATAAAGAAATTTATAGGCAAGGACTCAGAAAAAGTGATAGCCTCTGGATCCCTTTTGCTAAGTAGTTGTAAAATGAGGGAGTAGGCAAGAAAGAAGACACGGAATTTGGGAAAGAGTGGAAGCAATCAGGGAAAGCTGAAGAGCAGTTCTAGGAAACAGCTGGGTAGGTGGCCTGGAGTAGTCTCTAGAAATGCCAGAAAAATGAAGGAAGTGCTAGAAAGAAAATGAAATGACAGTGAACTATTTGGTACTATAGCAAATATTTACAAAGAAAACATATAAACTCTTTTTTATTCGTTTTCAACAATCACCAAAATTTTAGCTATCAGAGAATACAAAAGTGATCAACCTTGACTGAAACTGGGAGGTGGAAGAGAGACAGGAGCATGGGGCAAATAGGAACGCAGATGTCAACACACAGCGCAAGGCATTTACAGAGATCGTCTGCAGTTGCTGGAACAAGAAAAAGGTGGACTTTGAAGTTAGAGATGTAATCACTGGAAGAACTACATATAGTCCCAGAAATTTTCAGTTAAATCACACAGAACCTGCTTTTTAGGTCAAAAATGGTTGAACATCAAAAATTTCATACAGTTCAATCTAACATATGAGCAGAAATGTGTAATATCAGCAAATTAAACTACAAAAAATTTTAAATCAATTTTTATTTTATTTATTTTGTAATTTATTGAGAGTTGGGGTCTCACTCAGTCACCCAGGTTGGAGTGCAGTGGCATGGTCACAGCTCACTGCAGCCTCAACATCCCAGGCTCAAGCAATCCTCCCGCCTCAGCCTTCCAAGTAGCTGGGACTACAAGGAGCCTATCACCACACCCAACTAATTTTGCATTTTTTGTAGAGATGGGGTCTCGCTATGTTGCCCAGGCTGGTCTCAAATTCCTGGGCTCAAGCAATCCACCAGCCTTGGCCTCCCAAAATTCTGGAATTACAGGTGTAAGCCACTGTGCCTGGCCTGGCCTGGCATTTTAGACATCCTTATGGAAGACGAAACTTCAGCAAAGCTCAGGTTATATTCTTACGAAAAGCATTACATTTTTTCTGTGTAAAGGGACCTAAAGCAGGTCCCTTTACTTTTTAGACAGTAGCAAATCTAGCTTCTTTGTACAACTTAGAACTCATCTAAAGATTTAATCTTTTAGGCTGGGCACGGTGGCTCACGCCTGTAATCCCAGCACTTTGGGAGGCCAAAGTGGGTGGATCACCTGAGGTCAGGAGTTCGAGACCAGCCTGGCTAACATGGTGAAACCCGGTCTCTACTAGAAATACAAAAATTAGCTGGGCGTAGTGGCAGGTGCCTGTAATCCCAGCTACTCAAGAGGCCGAGGCAGGAGAATTGCTTGAATCAGGGAGGCAGAGGCTGCAGTGAGCCGAGATCACACCACTGCACTCCAGCCTGGGTGACAGAGTGAGACTCTGTCTCAAAATATATATCTGAATTCAGCTTGCTGTTTTGTTTAGGACTTTTACTATTAGTGAGATTTGCTTATAAATTGTTTGAAAAAAAATCCATGACCAATTTTGGTATCAGGTTATACAGCCTCATAAAGTGGGCAGGGACGTGCTCTCTGATACAGTTCATAAAAACTGGAATTATCTTTTATTTGAACATGTCGTAGAACTCCTCTGGAAAACCATCGTGGCCTGGTTTTATTGTATGTGTGTATTAGGTATTTATTGTTGCAAAACAAATACCCCAGATCTTGGTGGTTTGAAACAATAAAATATACTACGTCACAGTTTTTGAGGGTCAAGAATTTAGGAGTAGCTTAGTTGAGCAGCTATGGCTCAGGGTCTGTCATGAGATTGGCATCAAAATGTTGGCTGGGGCTATGATCATCATGACTGTGGCTGGAGGATTTGCTTCCAATGTATCCCGCTCACACTGGCCAGTTCCCTGCTGGCTCACGGCAGAAGGTCTTGGGTCCTTGCCATGTAGACCCCTTTAGGGCTACTTGAGTGTCCTCATGACATGGCAGTTGGCTCCCCATTTCATTCTTCAAAGAATTGTGGGGTTTCTTTTTCACTAGCTCTAAAAAAGAAAAAACTAACGTTGATATATATGTTGCTTGAGCAAGAAGATATAGAAAAACAACATATATCCATTCAGTTCCTTCCAAATATGAGGTAAAAAGATGAAATATACATATATATATTTTAAGACTCAGTCTCAATCTTGTCCACCAAGCGGATTGTACCACTGCACTCCAGCCTGGGAGACAGAGCAAGATTCTGTCTCAAAAAAAAAAAAAAAAGAAAGAAAAAGTTATGTAAATAAATGGGAAGATGAACCATGCTTACTGGCAAGAACAGTAGGTTTTGTAAAAAATGCAAATTCTTCCTCAAATTTATTTACAAATTTACTGCCATTTCTATTAAAATCCCAGCAGGTGTTCTCAATGGAGTTGACATGCTCACCCTGAAATAGTCATAGAATTGCAAAGAGCCAACAGTAAAAGAAAAACAAGGTAGACAGATGAGCCTATACCAAAAATTATTAAAGCTCCAATAATGAAGACCATGAGTATGATACGGGACTAGACAAACAGACCAATGGAAAACCCAGAAACTGACTCCCACATCTGCAGAACCCACAACCCAACGCCAGCATCCACCTGATGGTGTTGGAGGACCGTGAGCACACAGCCTGGCCACACAGGGCTGAGGCCACCCACAGGGGAAGACAGACTGATTTGAATGTAACCTCCAGTATGAGAAAGTTTGGATTTACCTTTATACACAGAGGGGCGGGGGGGAACCCCTCAAAGCTCTTCTTTAGAAATCATGATGCCAATAATAATTGCTCGTCCTTTAGTAATAATAGCTAACATTCATTACCATTTATGGACTGCAGGCCACAGGGCAAAGTCATGATATGCTTTATTGCCTTTAATTCTCATAAAAACTCTAAGCAGGTACTATTTTATCCTTATTTAAGGTTGAGGAAACTAAGACTTAGAGAATGTAAGCAAGTGTCTTACGTAACGTCCCATGCAGTTAGTAAGTGGTAGAGCTGGGATTTGAACCCACACTTGTCAACTCACCAGTCCCTGTTTTAACCACTGCCTCTCCCACGCACAGATATCCAATTAAAGCAACAAAACTTTTACAGCTTTCAGCTGGAAGAACAAAGGAGCCCGTGACAGCAGCTAAACTAGAATCAAGCTTATCATTATATTCATGAATAACAGCCACATGTTAGCTGTTCCATAAATGCTTGTAAAATGAGGTGGCAAAGTTCCAGGAAATGAAAATCAATCCAGTTTCAAAATGACGTATTGCATGGATGTAAAGCAAATGGGAACTCACGGGAGGCTCAGGAACCACGCTGGACACACACTGAGCGCCTAGAGGGAAGGCTCTGTGTTTTCTTCCTCTGTCAGCTTCACAGAAACTGCCTATCCTGAAATTGCTCACTGCATGAATGGAGTCCAGTGCTCTCCCAAATAGCCCGTAGGTCAGAGATACATAAAGTGAGAAAAACGGGGCAGGGGAAAGAACGGCAAGAGCGCACTTCTCAATTAAAAGTTGATAAAGAGGGCCCGGTGTGGTGGCTCATGCCTGTAATCCCAGTACTTTGGGAGGGCCAAGGCTGGCAGATCACTTGTGGCCAGGAGTTCGAGACCAGGAGTTTGAGACTAGCCTGGCCAACATGGCGAAACCCCATCTCTACTTAAAAAAATACAAAATTGAGCCGGGCGCGGTGGCTCACGCCTGTAATCCCAGCACTTTGGGAGGCCGAGGCGGGTGGATCACGAGGTCAAGAGATTGAGACCATCCTGGTCAACATGGTGAAACTCCGTCTCTACTAAAAATACAAAAGATTAGCTGGGCATGGTGGCGCGTGCCTGTAATCCCAGCTACTCAGGAGGCTGAGGCAGGAGAATTGTCTGAACACAGGAGGCGGAGGTTGCGGTGAGCCGAGATCACGCCATTGCACTCCAGCCTGGGTAACAAGAGCGAAACTCCGTCTCAAAAAAAAAAAAAAAAAAAAAAACAAAAACAAAAACGAACCACAAAATTTAGCTGGGTGTGGTGGCACAGCCCTGTAATTCCAGCTACTCGAAAAGCTGAGGCATGAGAATCGCTTGAACCTGGGAGGCAGAGGCTGCAGTGAGCCGAGATCGCACCACTGTACTTCCATCCTGGGCGACAGAGTGAGACTCTGTCTTAAATAAATAAATAAATAAAGAGAGCAACTGATCCTTTCCCTCCGGGAAAAGCCATCATCACTTGGATCGCATGCATTTCTTTATCCATTCATTGATTTCACAAACATTCGCCGGCTAACTCTGTGCAGGAGACAGGCGCTGGCCTGGAGTTGTCCCCTGACTCCGTAGAGAGCCCTCTCTCCGCCAGACGCCAAGCCAGCCACAGCGGGACAAGGATGGGCCCAACACAATCCAGCGCCCCCACCCCCAAACCGGAGCAGGAGCTAGGGAAGGCAGGCAGCCACAGTTCACAAACGTAAAGCTTAGTTCCGAGGAGAGGGAGGGAGGGGGGACAGAGAGGAGCGACTGCAGGCCTGTGAGAAGGAAGAGCACAGAGAGGAGAGGCAGTGGAGGAGAAGAGGAGGAAGAGAGGAGGAGTGGGGAGGGGAGGAGGGGAGGAAGACAGCAGCAGCCGGTCTGGATTCTCCTCTGAGCCATATCTGGTCACGTTCTAAAGAATTAGAAGATTTTCTGATTGACTTAACCAAGAGCTCTCTCTCTGATTAATTTTCGAAAGAGCTGGCCGATTTTAATCATAGCAAACATGATGATCGCGGTGATCATGGCCTGAATAGCTAAAAGCAGAAAATAAAACCCCCACAATGGGCTATGATCTCGACGTTTGTCAGTGGCCACCGGCTGGGCCCACACCCAGAGTTCTGAGCTGTTGGGAGCCAAGGTTAGACGGCCAGGGGCTTCCGAGGAGCTGTCGGCAGCGGGGTGGGGAGGCGGGCCCTGGGGGCCAGGGCACTCCGCATCACTCCCCGGCAGGTCCCAGATCTCCAGGCCGGCGTGCTCCCCAGGGCCTGTGCACCGGGGGGGCTCTTCCCGGCCCACGAGGCCTGGGTGCTGCCGCAGCCACCCCAGGAAGGGCCCCAGGCCACAGTCGCAGCGCCAGGGGTTGTGCCCCAACAGGACCTCCGTCAGCCGGGGCAGAGCCCCAAACGCGTCACCAGGCAGGGTCTCCAGCTGGTTATGGTCCAGATGGACGCTCTCCAGGCTGCTGAGATTTCGGAAGAGCGCGCGGGGTAGGGCGCGCAGCCTGTTGCGGCGCAGGGACACCTGGCGCAGGCTGCCGAGGCCGCCCAGCAAGCCATCCGGGAGAGCGGTCAGGCCGTTGGAGTGCAGGGCGAGCTCCCGGAGCTCGCCCAGGCCCTGGAAGGCGCCCTGCGGGAGCGCGCTGAGCCGAGGGCTCAGGGTCACCCCTAAGACCTGCAGGCGGCTCAGGTTGCGGAAGGCGGCGGCAGGCAGGGTGCGCAGCTGGGTGCCGTTCAGCCACAGCTCCCGCAGGTCCCCCATCTCACCGAAGAGCACCCCCGGGAGCTCTGCCAGAGGGTTCTCGAACAGAGTCAACAGAGTCAAATTGTGCGAATGAAGAAAGAGCGCCGAGGGGAGAAACGCAAGATGGTTTCTCGCAAGAGTCAAATAATTCAGGTTTGGGAGGCGGTCGAAGGTCCCGGGTGCGATGGAACCGATGTGATTTCGGTGGAGCTGCAGATCGGTCAGGGAGCCCAGGCTGTTCAGCAGCCCCGAATCCAGAGACACAAGCCGGTTCGAATGGAGCAGAAGTCTCTCAAGCTTAGCCTGTGCGCCAAGCAATCCCTCGGGCAGGTGGGTCAAGTCGTTTCCCGATAAATCCAACAACTTCAGGTTCCCCAGATTCGTGAAGAGACTGGGAGGAAGGAAATCGAGCTGATTCTGGTTCAGAACGAGCTCCTGCAGGTTAGCCAGTTTCTGAAACAGGTTTTGGTCAAGGTCCCTTAGTGCATTGTGGTCCAAAAACAACTGCTCCAGGAGCACCAAGTTATCCAGCAGCGCACCTGGAAGACGAGTGATTTGGTTGCGCGACAGCCTGAGGGTTTTCAGTTTTCTCAGGTCATTGAAGGCGCCGGGGTCAATGGCGGAAATGTGGCTGTCGGAGAGCATGAGGCGCTGGAGGACGGTCATGCCACTGAAGCTGTGGTTCTGCAGGACGCCGCGGCTCATTCGGAAGAGCAGGATGTGCGTGAGGTTGGTGGGCAGACCCAGCGCGGAGATGCGCGCCACGTCGCCCCCTGAGCACTGCGCGGCGTCCCGGAAGACACACTTGCAGGCTGGCGGACAGGGGAAGGGCTGGGCTCGTAGAAGCCCGAGCACCGCGCATAGCAGGGTCCTCCTCAGCATGTCTGAAAAAGCAACCGTGGGAGTGTGGTCAACGCACAGGAGCGTTCGCGCCCATACTGAATCCTGGGATCCTGCACTTTTTGCAGAGGCACGAGTCCTTTGGCCAGAATTCTCCCTCCCTCTTTTCTTAGGACTGCAGATTTCCTTAGGTGGTGAAAAGACATTCATTTTACACTGTGTGGTCTCGTTCTTTTGCTCTATTGATTTTCTACTCTGAGTTTAAAGCACTGATTTTCTACTCTGAGTTTTAAACATTAGTGTTTTCAAGCTACCCAGGCCGGGTGCGGTGGCTGACGCCTGTAAATAATCCCAGCACTTCGGGAGGCTGAGGCTGGTGGATCACCAGGTCAGGAGTTCCAAACAAGCCTGGCCAATATGGTGAAACTCCGTCTCCACTAAAGTACAAAAATAAGCCAGGTGTGGTGGCGCTCGCCTGTAGTCCCAGCTACTCCGGAGGCTGAGGCAAAAGAATCGCTTGAACCTGGGAGGAAGACGTTGCAGTAAGCTGAGATCATGCCACTGCATTCCAGCCTGGGGGACAGATTGAGACTCTGTCTAACGTATACACACACACACACACACACACACACACACACACATATATATCTCAAGCTACCGAATAGCCAATACTTAAAAATCCTTACAGAGAATTAATTAAAATAATCATTCTCACATTCAAGCTCACAGACATTACAAAGCAGTGTCCATTGTGAAAGCAGCTCTGCTCTTGACTTTATAATGTCCCCTGCCTTGGCTCTAACCAACAGTCAAGAAGGGAACAGCAAAGTCTGCAGGCACCACCATCTGATTCTTTTGCTCACAATCATGCTATTTCTGCAGTACCAAGTTACTCTATTAAAACGATGGACACCCCAAAACAGTGAGCACCTTCAATCAACAGCCAACAAAAGCATATAATAATACCTATCATTTTACAAGCAACAGCCAATAAAAGCATAAAATAATGCCTATCACTTTACACCAAGCATTGTTCTCAGTGCTTTATTTATACTGTATGCATTTAATTCTTATGATAACCTTAGGAGGTAAGTATATTATCCTGGATTCAAGGATAAAGACACAAAGGCACAGAAAGGTTCAATAGTATAACTAGGATCACACAGAATTTGAGGGAAGTATTTTTGACTTAGCCATAAAGAGCTACCATTTCTAAGATGCTTAATAAAAGGTAATACTCATGGCACTGAATTTTCTGTGCAATGCGCACAATACTATTTATCTGCCAAAACAATGTTTCCCAAGTGAAATTTTACATAAATTGCTTCTGGTGAAATTTTATTTCTCATGCACACACAGATGAATGGAGCCCTCTAATTTCCTATACTAATTTTTAAAATATTTGGCCTTACCTGAAATGGTTCTGCATGCCAAAGCAACTGAAAGACTTAGAGCTTTGCATGTGATTCGACACTTTCTAAAGGAAGAGGGTAAGATCCTTGCATCCTGAGGATAAGGATTTTACCAGAATAGGTCAGGGAAAGGACCCTATCTCAGAGGCCATGTTCTGGTTTTTCTTTTTTTTTTTTTTTTTTGAGACAGAGTTTCGCTCTTGTTACCCAGGCTGGAGTGCAATGGCGCGATCTCGGCTCACCGCAACCTCCACCTCCTGGGTTCAGGCAATTCTCCTGCCTCAGCCTCCTGAGTAGCTGGGATCACAGGCACGCACCACCATACCCAGCTACATGTTCTGGTTTTTCATGACAGATATCTTCAAACTGAGAGACCATATATAACCTGATTCCTACTGTCAAAGCCAAGAGCAGTGGGAAGAGGTTTTCCATAAATGGCACAACATAACCTGGGATGCTAAGAAAACTGAATGATAGTTTGATCACTGCAGTAGCCACAACCCTAGATGGGCCACACCTCCTTTGGGTCTTCCTTTTCACGCCACACTGCCCTAATTTTCCACCCAATTGTGTATGTGTGTGTTGTTTATCTTTCTCCATTTAGCACTAAAGCTAAGAACATTCTCAAATGCTCCATTTTTTTTCCTTTTGGGAATAATAAGGCCAAGAACATCCTTGTACATGTTCAATAATGGCACTGCTGTGTTGCAGGGTGTTGACATGTTCAATTTAACTTGGGAACATCAAACTGCTCTCCAAAGTGGTTGTGTTGGTCTACAACGCCACCTGCCATTGATGAAAGTTCCTGTGCTTCATCTCTGCCCACACTTGCTACTTCCTCATTTTTGCCATTTCTATGAAAGTGATCACAGCATGGTTTTAACTTTTCATTTCCCTGTTTAATGATGAACTTGAGCACCTTTTCACATAATCAAGGCACACTTGTGCTTCATTTGAGAATGCTGGGTTTCCTTTTGCCCATTTTTCTATAGGCAAAACATGTATGTCTACGTGTCTTTTGTAAGCACTCTAATGTTGTCTGCATCAAGACTTCTATCCATGAAGACACCATAAAAAAGGTGAAAAGACTGCCGGGCATGGTGGCTCAAGCCTGTAATCCCAGCACTTTGGGAGGCTGAGGTGGGTGGATCACAAGGTCAAGAGATCGAGACCATCCTGGTCAACATGGTGAAACCCCGTCTCTACTCAAAATACAAAAATTAGCTGGGCATGGTGACGCGTGCCTGTAATCCCAGCTACTCAGAAGGCTGAGGCAGGAGAATTGCCTGAACCCAGGAGGCGGAGATTGCGGTGAGCCGAGATCGCGCCATTGCACTCCAGCCTGGGTAACAAGAGTGAAACTCCGTCTCAAAAAAAAAAAAAAAAAAGGTGAAAAGACAAACCACAAACTAGAGATATTCGTAACACTTGTAACTGACAAAGGCTTAAAATCAGGAATGTCTACATCATGAGATCTAATCACCCTTTGATGTAGCCAAATGCAGTCAGAGCCCAGTAAATGCTGAGTTGACTGAAACTACCTTCTAAGTCATGCAGCCCTGGACCACAGGGAAGAGTCAGAGCCTCTGCCAGGTTATCACAGGAGGTCTTTCAGTTCTGATCAAGGAATGCAACTCCAGAGACCAGAACTGCTGCACTGGTGAGCTGGTAAGTCCATCATACAAGGGCAAATCAAATGAAAGGCCCCTCCTAGCCCATGAAAATGCCAGGGAGCCAACATGACAGACTGGGAAGGTGTGCTGTCAAACAGCATTAAGATGCCAACTCAAATGCTTGTGACACTTCTTTAGCCTATTTCCCCAGGAAAAATCCAGTCAGAATGGCCTCTATGTTTTGTTCTTTAGGAAGACATTCTGATTATCCAGGAAGGGATAAGTAGGAATGGAAGTTGCAGAGTGGAAAACACTCTTAGTCCATCCACTCAGCACGTGGATGAGGTAATGAGTATTTGGAGCAATGAAATTGACAGCTCCAGTGCTTCAAGCCTCAAGATTCTGGATCCATCACCAGGTCAGAAGTCTGCTATAAAATAGTCGCAGATCCCTGGCTTAAGGGGCTTAACCATTCAAAAGCAGGTCTGCCTGGGTGAGAGAGCGTTTTTCCCCTTTGAGGAAGACTCAGTGGGCAGGGCACAGTGGGGAGTAACCACACCCCAACTTGGACCACGGACAGTCTCACTCAAGCCCCTAGGACTCAATGTCCCTTCCTGCAATATGCACTCAGAATAAAGCACTTGGCAGTAATAGAGGAGAAGAAGAGACATGCAGAACTGTGCCCACACCAGCAGCCTGTGTGGAAAGGATCACACATGCCGTACAAACCATAGCGACTGGCAAGAACTGGAGCTAAAAGCAGGCAGGCCCTTGCCCGCCGAATTCATCACATCACAGCCAGCCATGTGTGCCCTAGCAGAGGCTGCACGTCTCTGGAAGCTGAGCTGCCCAGAAACTCGCACCCACAGACAAAGGTTCTGTTTTCTCTGGAACTTCCACAACCATCTTCTCTCTCCATGGTATTAGCTTTCGGTTTGATTCTCCCAACTATGAATAGATTATAAATTCCTCCTCTTATATTCCGCCATTTCCCTCAGACTTCTTGGCGTTTAACGTTTGGCTCTGCACTGCATCTGACTCAAGGGTTTCCCCAGGATGGTCGCAGACATGGGGTGATATGCGGAATGCTGTTCTTATTTCCTTCAAAAATCCAGTTTTTTTAAAAAAAAAGTAAATGGGAAGTATTACTACGCAGAAAAACAAATCCACAAAGGGAAGTATTCATGTGACTAAAAAGCAAACAAATTTATAAAAACCCAGAAAAAATGAAGTAGTATTTCATTCATTAAAATTTTTATTTTGAATGCTTCAATCAAAAAAGGTTTCATAAGATTATTTACAATGTTGAATGTACAATTATGAATGTATGCCTTTTTGACAAGAGGGTACCATTCTTGAGCAGCAATACAATTTTAAAAATATAAAGATGCAGTATCATTTCTGATATAAAGTTACTTAAAAAAATCCAAGGTCTTAGGGAATTCACAAATCATAACCAGAAGTAATTAATGTACACATAATTACCAAATTTTAATACATTAAAAATGTGTAAATGCCCACAGACTATACAAAAATTAACATCCCATTTTGTTAAAAGCCCCCAACCACCTCCCACCATAAATATACAAAAACCTATTTTTAGATATGTCAAAACTGCATGCATGCATGTTTTCTAAAGCTTGAATTTTGCCTTTCACTGAGTACTGTTATTGATAGCTGTTTTGGGAACAGACTGCATAAACACTGACATATTGGTTACCATGCCCTTGAAACTGTGCAGTACTTTCATAAGCACAGGGAGCAAAGTAAATAGAGTAAAAACTGCAACAGTTTTGTTTAGATGCAAGTGCCATTTGGAAAGCTTTCAAATTTAAGGATTATAAAACTACTGTAAAAAGTACGTATTTTGTTGCTGGCTTAGCCATTTTTATTCAAGCATTATTTGCAGCACTGCTTTACAGCAGTTGGTGCCAGGAGATACAAAACATATAGTTACCACTATTTATACTTGAGGGAGAAAAGAAGGTTTAAACAACCCTGAGGGAGATACACATTAAAAATCTTGTTATTTATTTAAAAAGTTAAAAAGTTACATATCATTATTTAACAATTACTTTCCCAGACATTTC